TTCCAAAACAGAACTGAAATCATAATCTGTCAAGTGTCCCAGGTGAAAAACAGAAATTAACTGCATTCACTGGCTGCTCAAAGTGGTGGTGTCCTGCGCCCTCTTATTACTCTACAATAGAGATGATTTTCTATCTAAATCAGCTTCTCTTTCTTTTCCTGCACTGCACATCCTTGTCCCTTTCCTACACAGGTCTGCAAGACCTTGGACCATTTCTGGGGAAGCCCTGCTGACTCCAAACTCTGTGACAGGGATTGTACCTGCAGGGAGATCCTGCCTGCTGTTCCACTGCTCCCTCACTCAGCCCAAGTCTGGGGCTGGCCTGTTTTATCCTCCCACCTCTGGGATGGCTGAGTCCCTTCTGAGATCTGCAGCTTGGTGTCTAATCTATACATGTAATTAACCTATCCTGAGTGTGCCTGCTGTTGTATTGCTGCCAAGTTTGCTTCAGTAGTAACAACTTAGTTGTAACCTGTAATTGTTATATATATATATACATGTGTATATATATATATATATATATACACACATTTAAGTGCTAGTACTACTGGGTGCTGCTATATTTGATTGTTGCTATAAATTCATTGCTGCTGTATCACTGATTGTTGCTATACAAATGCTGCAGATACTATTCTGTAATAGTTATATATATACACACACATATATATACACACACACACACACACACACATATATATATATATATATATATATGTTTTCTTTATTATAGGTGTACTTGCTAATGGTGAGTTGTGGTGTTTGTGGAAATCTGTAATAAAGTAAAGAAAACTGAGGCTAAAGCGTCCATGCCCTGTGTATTACAAAATCCTTGAACCCATGGTCAAGGTCTTTAAACATCCACAGGCCAGTGACACCACATCACAACTTAAGTTGTGACACCACATCACAGTTTTAGTCACTCAACCCCAGCTCTTACGCACAGAATGCAAAACAGCCAGAAAAGAATAAGGAACAACACGCAGAGAATTCTCTAATATCAAAATATAGCAATTTATTCAAGACACTGAATATGATCTGTTGATTCTCTCCTTAAAACAAATGAGCTACAATACACAAGGTGAATTTGAAGAAAGTGTGGGTGGGGGAGAAACAAAATAAGGGCTGATGTTTCAACAGAACCTGGGAAATGCTTAAATGAGAACCAAGTCTGGCTGCAAGTCTGACACAGACAATAAAAACTGCAGAAGCCAGAATTCAGAATTTCAGTGAGTGGCTGAAAGAACATTTCTGCAATTGACAAAGAACAACATCTTTTAAAAAGGCAGTAAGAGGGAAAAAAAGGAGGAAAAATTAAAAAGGGAAAAAGAAAAAGAAACCCAAAAACAAAGCAGACCCTTACATTTGACAAAGTGCACTTCACTTGGCTCTAAAATTAGCTATTTTTTTCTTTTTTTTTTTTTTAAACAAATTAAAAGGAGATTTCTAAGATGTAGCATGGGGTTAATGTGTGTATAACCCTGTAAGTCAGGCCCTTTATTGCCCCATAAGGGACCCAGTGTTTTATACATAAAAGATTCAGTATCCTTCTAACCCACAGAATATAGTGGTTTTTCAGAAACTGGGTTTTTTTTTCACTCCCAAGCCAGTTCCAGACAGCCAGCAACAATAAAAATCCAGCAAGTCTCTGGATGGTTTCACAATCCTGTTTGGTCACTTAGGTTTTTCCATTTCTCTTCTGTTACAAAGAGCTATAAACAAAATTCTAGGAAGAAATCTTACGAAGTCCCCTGGGCTGTTGCTTTGTGCAGTTCTGTCGCAGGGGAGCCACGGAGAGGCTCTGCCAGTTGGGGATGTGCCGCTGCTGGAGGGGCGGGAGAGCTCCCAGGAGCTCCCAGGAGCACAGACAGTGCTGTAGGTCTGGGCTGAGACATCCACCTTGAACTACAGCCTGGAAAAGGCTCTCTCCCCTCATTGTTGTGTTCTGAAGAGACCACGTCCTTAGGTTAAGATTAACCTTTGCAACTACATCTCCTGCCTTCCTTAACAGCTCTCATTTCAGTTGAAAACGATCTACTACAGCATCTTTCCAGTCTTTAGGATTTTGTGGAAGGCAAGAAAAGTGAATTTTCTCAGCTCCTCACATATGCTGCTTGTAACTCAGATGGTCCATATAGAAAACTTTCTGGAGCAGCAGCCTCTCTCACACATGAGCTTTGCAAACCAATTGATACTCAAATTTTGTCTCTCTTGGCTTCTTACCTCCATGTAGGAAAGCAGAGTGATGTTCTGACAAATTAAAAAAAATGAAAAAAGGAACAGGTGTCATGGACACTGCCCTGTTATGTACAGTAGCTATCCTGGGAACAGCTATGAAACACATGCTGTGGAGCCAGCCAGTCATGGAGCACTGAGCAAATTAAGCTCTTCAAATTCTGAGGTCTGGCCTATTCAGGTGTCACTCAGGGGACAGAGGCAAGGCCAGAGCCCATCAGTGTTGCCCTCCCACAGACCAGCAACTTCAGCTTGTTATTCTCAGAAATGTCACCAAAAAGCAGGGTAGGAATTTAAGGAATTTAACCGTTTACACACAATGACTGCAGTAAAATCATTGTCCAAACAACACTTCATAAAACCACATTACGCCTTTGTATTCAAGTTCAAGACTCTTTGAGCAAGTCCTCTTTTTTTTAAAAAGAAGTAGTGACTTTAAATTAGCAGGTACATGTGGCTATTAGAAAGGAGTGCAAAACTGCCACATGGTGATCTACAGCCATGCTCTTGGTGCAAAAAACCAGCACATAAAATCATTTAACACCAAAATAATCCTTGATACTGCCTGGCATCCAATTATTTGAGATAAATTACAAACAACCCTAACTATCACTAGTAACCAAAATTCCACATAACTGTTTTCACCTCAGGACTAATACTTCTAGTTACTAGTAACTTCTTCCCATTCTTTTCTCCTTTCCAAAGGTGTATCTTTAAGAAATGCAGCTGAAGCTGGCAGTGTCTAGTTGCACTAGAAGGACTGAGATCTCCTACAGATGCAAGCATACTGAGAAGAAAACTCCAGAGAAAAGATGGTGTTTGGATTCCACAATGATGCCCTGGAGCTCAGCAGGTCTCACACCACCAGTTCAGCCCAAGGGCTCTGGATTTGCTCAGATCAAATCACACCTTCAGCAGCTGTGGTCAAACCAAGGGGAAGATGCTGTGTTACAGGGACTTTGGGCAGGAAGGTTCTACATTTGTTAAAAGGTTTGTGGCCTGTTTAATCTCTCCTACAGATCCTAGCCTAGGCTGTAGAGAAGACAGCCTAGAAGACAGAACTCAGCCAGTTCTGAGGATCTGTCTAAGTCATGCCTGACACCACCCCAAGGCTGCCTTCTAGTTTACAGCGCTTTGAGTAAACTCTGCCTATGTGCCCTTCTTTGCATTCGTCATTTCCTCAATTAGAGTAACGCAGTCTTCAGCTGGCATCTGTGCAGGTGTCAGAGCTGCAGGAAGGAAATCTTGTCCAAAGTGGATGGGTGGTGCTTTGGAACTCTCCGTTGTTGTTCTGATCATTCACCCCCACAACTTTATGGTGGTTTACATGTTGAGATAGAACTTATATATGATGTCATAACCTAAAGAATCCACTGTCTTCTGAGCACCACACTGAGGACACCCTTGAGGTTAACCTGTCTGGGCAGACAGTGAGCCTCCAAGTGCAGACCCAGAGCTTTCCCTGCAGGATGCAGCACACATGTGGCAACAGCAGCAATGGCAGAGCCTTCTTCTTGGTGTGTGTGGTCCATGGATGGACAGGAGCTTGGCAAGAGTCCATTCTTCAACAGTGACAGATGCAGTCAGTGTATTTCAGTTCACCTGGTCTCATTGAGTCAGTGGTAAAACCCCACCGACTGACTGGAATAATGAACAGTGGAAGGCAGCACTGCTCAGCAAGGCCACAGGTAGCCAAACCCATATTCTGTTAAAATCTGAACTATCTCTAGAGGAGAGAAGACACACAAGCATTTTCTCCTGGTTACTGAAAACAAACAAAAAAATATAGACTAGAGAAAATAAATGCTATAGTCTCAGGCTTCTGAATCTCTTTGAATAAGTTTACATCACCAAACAGCCATAAAAAATTGAATGAGACTATGTAAATGACTGGCTGCTGGAAAAGGACTTTAGTAAAGTACTGTTTTTTCTTGTATCAAACACCATTTTTTCTTACAGCACGTTCTGAGAGAGGAGAGAAAAAGGATACTGTGCCTTTCATGTTCCCTGGACTTTGTGTTATTCTTTTTGCTTGAATTACACAACTGGTTTACATTTTGTGGCCATTTTAGGCTTTTAAAACTGTTTAACATAAAAAATATTTTTTTCCAAAAATACACTGGGTTCTTTCTGTTAAAAGTCATCTTTCTCCTGTAAAAATCTTCCCCAGCACTGCATTCTTATATAAAGCACTTATTACACAATTTGCTGAAAGTGCCCTTGAGACGCTAAGATCTGAAGCATGGAGGATTTTTTTTTCTTTTAAACGGACAGAAAGAAAGGAAAAGGAAGTTATAGAAGAGAGGAGAAGCAGTCTGTCAAAAATTTTCATTGTCATGTCCACCTGGCTGCATCTACTATGGGCATACAGGGAAAAGAAATAAAAAAGGGGGACAAAAAGAAAGAGGAGAAAAAAAAGGAAGGAAAAGTTGGGAGTGGAAGGGAGAAATAAAAGGAAAACAAAAGTTTCATCCTAAGCCTGGGATCCTCCAGGCTGTAATATTCCAGCTGATAGAAAACCACTGAACAAAAAAAGTAGTCTAGAAAATAGAAAGTGTTGTGATTACAAAGTTGAGCATTTCATCAGTACAAACTGGTCTTTGAACGTCCTTTGGGAGAGCAACTGTAGTGTCCAAATTGGAAGGAAAAAATACAACACCGCATGGAGGAGGATTTTTTTCCCTTTTGGTTTATCACAGCATTTTTCTTTTTTTTTTCTTTTTTTTTTTTAATTTTTATTTTTTTTTTTTTTCTGTTTTTTTTTTTTTTTTTTTTTTCCGTTTTTTTATTTCATTTTTTTTTTTTTTTTTTTTTCCCCAGCCATCAGAGCAAGTTCTCAGATGCAAACCAAACAGTGCAATGCCTAGCTGGTGGCTTCATGCTTCCAAGGCTGAATGTTCCAGGTGGAAACCATTCCCTCCCCCTCTGAAGTGACTGCGTTTTTACTCCTTGATGAAGGTTACGGACAAAATACAAGTCACCTGCGGCCAGGGAGAGTCAGTTTCATGGTACACTCTAACTTTGTTCAAGTTTGTACAGTTCTGGAGCTGTTAAGAATAGTTTTGAAGAGTGCTTCTCCCCACACATTCACTGCTGGTCCATTTGAAATTTCTTCTAAAACATTTCACTTTTACTTCCGCAGATCTAGAACACAAACCTGTGGAGAAAAGACCCCGTGTTAAGAATCATTTGTGAAGGTGATGTGGAAACCCAAACCCCCCTCATGCACCCTGTACACAGGTGGACCAGCCAGATGGATGTTGCACTCCCCAGCTTCAAATCAGCCTCTCTCAAGTACTGGTTTACAGGCACACAAGTAAAGGGACAAACTGACATGGCAGACAGCCCAAGTGAAACCCACACATTTAACACTCAGCTGGGCTTTCATTGGTTTACAAACAAACATTTTGGTGGCACATCTCATAAGATTATGGTATCTATTCAGTTGCCTAAATATCATGTCCACTTCTGAAATATATCCAAAACAGATGCAGGCTTGGCAAGCATGACAGTGCACATGTGCCCATTTGGAGCTGCTACTGGGAGCCAGGCATGGCACTATCTGACATGGCACAACTAAGCTCAAACAACTGAATCATGTCATAGGTGTTCCCTTTGTTAAAACCAGTTGAAAAATACTCTCCAAAGTAGTTATGCCAACCAGCCAGGTGTGTCCTGCACAAGCCGATCAGGCTACAATTGAATTTTTTTAGAAGTAACATTAACAGTAAAAAATAATAAGGAATAATCAATATCCATGGCAATATTTCTCTTTTACCACATGACAAAATCTTTGGGTATCATGCTGAAAATTTCCTCCTTTAGTTATTCCTATTCAAAGGAATAGGAATATTCTTCTGTGAAATCAAACTCTGAAAGCCCCAGGGTAACTGTTTGTTACAGAGTTGACTGCTGTGATCTACTCGTCATTAAAGCTGACAGATAATGATAGAAACAACATGACTGCTGTTCTTGTCAAATATGTATTTAAAAGTCATTCTCTTCTTCAGGAATATTCACCTATTCCACAAACATTTTTCATTTCTGACAGGAACACCACCTCCTTTTAAAACCTTTCAAAGCAGGAGCATTTTTAATACACTACACAGCGCTACTTATTTGTGTCTTGAGCTTCCTCTGTCTTCAGCTCTGTCCCCAGGAGGCAAATACAGCATTCTGTTTTTTGTTGATGCTCCCAGGAAAGAAATCTCCACCCAACCTTTGCAGTGTTTGGTGATCCTTACCGATCCGTCTGACGCGCTTGCTCCCACTTTGTCTCCTCTAGCATTCCAGCAGACTTCAAAGATGCCCCCAGTGCCTCTGTAGCTATGTACTAGAGTTCCACTCTACAAAGCAAAACAGCATGCAGAAATTGGATACAGAAGATTCCCCTTATTTTCTCTGTCATGTGGCCCTATGTTAAAAGGGGGAGCTATTCAAATCACCCAGCTATGGCCATATCGTGATGGAAACTTGTTAGTAAACAGTTAGGAAAGTGATCCTTGCAAGAGGCTCCCCCAGAAACAGTAGGACTCAAGACATCTGTTTTTGTCAACTCTGTAACAGTAAAGGCTTGGGGAGTTAGGTTGATGTGTTCTCCTCTACCGGTTGTTGCTAATTCAGGTTGTAAATTACCAGTATCCAGAATTACATCTGTAGAACTATGATGTCCCACTTTTCTCCAGAGTATCACCACTCCTCTGCCTGTACATCTTTGTATCTATATCTCCTCTTCACAACATCTAAGCAAGAAGCATCAGATTCACAGCTGAACTCAGTTTGTAACTAATAAAAATATCCCTTATTTCTAATCTGCACCTTTGCTTCTCAAAGCTGATGACCCCAAACAACGTACCTATTTTCATGCATGCTACTTGTTTCAGCATACAAAACAGAATGAGGAGAAGTGTTCTGGGCAGTCACCTCACTGCACCTGAGTGACTCAACTGCCTTGGATTTGTGCCAGCTAATACAATCAGGTTCACCCTGGCAGGCAGGTCATGCATGACCTAGGTACACACATTTTCCATTTAAGCTTTTGCTATTAATGTGTCATCTAAACCAGATGTGCTTCACATGAGGCGAAACAGTACCTGAGTATTCCATATATGGACACATTTGTCAAAGGACCCACTGGCTAGATATTTTCCATCAGGACTAAAAGCTACACTGTAGACAGGCTCTTGATGCTTTGTTAATGTATGGATGCAGACTCCTCGGTCAACGTCCCACAGCCGAACCGTGGAATCAAACGAAGCACTGCAAGAATAATTTGGGTGTTAATCAATTTGAACTATATACTGTAAATGTTATAAGAGAATAGCACAGGTTTTCTGTTTTTCCCTTGGCTAAGCATGACATAATGTTTCAAACAGAAAGGCTAAATTGTACCACAGCCTGTATGTTTTTTATCTTAAGAACTACAGTTACAGAACTGAATTCTTGTATGAGGACCCTTAGGGCTGATGTAGGTGTACTTTATGTAGCCCTCAGAAGGCCAAGCTCCCCACTTTTGAGATTCTACCTCCTGTTATTCAGGAAGGTCAAATATATATTGTCATTAATAGGATAAATGGGTCCAGAGAAATCTTACTCCTAATGGATTCACTTTGTTTGATTAATTAGCATTTTACAATTCTCTAGAACTGTGGTTCTTTTCACTTTGTTTCAGTTTTATTTTTGCTACACTCCATTTAAATCCCAAACTGTGGGCTTGAAGAAAGGCAAAGGAAATACTCTGTATTAAAAAAATATTAAAATAATAACTCCAGGAAAGTGAGGTTCTTCCACATCCCAGACTAAGGAGTAAAATAAACAAGTTTTGATACAACTTCTCCCCACACTGCACACACTATTGAACTGATCTGATAAACACACAGTACTACCATCAATTGGCACTCTGCCCGTGAATGTATTTCCTAAGCTCAAATAGGAATTTTGCACAGATTTTCAAGTGGAACTTCAAAGAGTATCCAAGCTTTTCTCTGTTAGCTAAGAAGGTTACAAAAATTTTTTCTAACTGCCCAGGTGAGTTGCATGACCCCAGTTAGAAACCATTCCAGCTGCCTGAATCTTGAGAGCACCAGCCTCAAGATTTTCACTCCTAACAACGAGATGCTGGATGTGAAAGTGCAATGCCAAATTTACAACCATTTTATCAAGGCACCTGAAAAGTTAAATACCACATGACTCAATTTTCTTCCTTTGTTCCCCTTTTTTTCAAACACAAATCCTTTCCTTTTGTACTCATCCTCCTGACTTAAATACACAGATACTTTTTAGTGGAATTGCCGGTGGGAACACTAATGGCAAAGTGACAGTAGGTCTACATGTCAGAAAGATTCTTCTTGGCAGACAAGAAAAAGAGGTGTATTTTTTACCTTGCTAACATGATGTTGGAGTTTGGATTGCTGGTGCCTGGTCCTGTAGGGCTCCATTTGATAGTGTAAATCTCTTTGCTGTGAGCCTGAAGATCATGTACACAGGTATCTTGCTTCATACTCCATATCTGAATAAGATAAATAATGAAGAAGGAAAATGGCAACATTATTAATCTCTTGTCAGCTGAATTATTTCAGTTCTATGTTATTTTTACCATTTGTTTATTTGAGATCTCGACTCACTTGAATACACATAAATATAATTTATTAATGCAGGAATTTGTCACATACATTAAAATAACTCCAGTAGGGAGAAGAGTTACACATTTAATAGTATTTATTCAATAGATAAGAGCTAAAGAATTGCTGTACTTCCAAGAGCCTGTAACTATTTTCATACAGAAGTTTAACTATTTGAAGAAGTTTAACCAGAATTTTATTAATACATTGTAACAGCAGTCATTTTAAAGAACAAGAAGAAAATTGCAGCAACTGTTTAGAACACAGCAGCTTTCTCTTATGCTAGTAAAATTTTCCTTTTCCTCCTGAACTCTATTTGTCTCCCTCATATTTTTAACAGTACAGAAAATGGAAGGCAGTCAGCTGTTTCTGCAGTGTTACATGGCCAAATACTTCAGTGTAAGACGAAGAATACGCTCAATAGAGATGACAGATAATTTAATACCTCTTTTCGTCAGCTAACTGAGAAAATAAGATGAAGGAATTCACAGCAGGGAAAAGTCAGTTTCAGAGAGATATTGAAAATGTAGTAATGATTTAACTCAGCTGTTGTAGGTCTGTCCATGAGAATGATGTGCTCTTATGCTGAATTCCCATCAGTGTTACCCGAGACCACTTTTGGGAATGCTACACAAAGCTCACCCATGTTCTATGGCTAACAGGCAGCATGTTCCAAGAAGTTATAGGAAAAGCTCATGAATTCCAAAAATACAGAAGAAAAAAGCTGGAGAGGATTGATTTACAAAGGAAAAGGAAGAAGAATAATTGCCTTAATTTGGAGCATTTGCCATCTCTGTCACTGAAGGCTTTTATAAACAGGTGAGGCCAGGGATAGCAAATCACTAGCTCTTCTGCCAAATTCAGTGGTCAGGAATTTGAACTGCTAACAGCAACACTGAACCATGGTGGTTTTTAAAACACAGCATGCAACTGGGCACCAAAAAGATGTGCTACCACTGGGTCAGGATATTTAAGCAGAGCACGAACAGTTATGCAATAGTGCTTTGTGGCAGCGTGACAGGCAAGCTGCTCCCTTTTGCCTGTTTTCTGTAAATTTTCAGCTTTGTCACTAGCCTGCAATAATACATCTGGAATACAGAATGATGAAAACCTCAGTGGGTATGTGGCAAAGACAGAGCAGAAGTCAGTCTACCTATGAACAGGAAATATTCATAATGCTGACATTCTCTTAGCTCTCATCTGCACATTCTGCTGCTGTCTCAGTTTCATGCTAGAAATGTCCCAAGCTTCAGCTGTGTCAATCAGCAGTGCAAAGAGATCTGAGTCTTAATTAACACAACCATACGGCAAGGAAACTATTACTGCTACAATTCTAGCCACAAAACCAAATCCTTCCTGGGATATTTGCTTTTTTTAAGAAACCAGCATAAATCAACAGTCCAGCAGGAGGGCTTTGCTATAACATCATACAGTTACTCCTATATAGACAGCCTTCATTTGATGTGACTGGAAAAGAAAAATGAGAAAGGTTTTGGGCTGCTGAAGTTCTATACTATTCTATACTTAAACTATGATTTTTTTGTGGCAATGGCATATCAGTCATGTAATACTTATTTGCATAGGATGCCTCAATTTCCCCAGTGTTTGCTTCTCTGTCTTCAATCTTTCAGATTTGCTTCAAGAAATATGGGACAAAATGGAAACTACTGTTCATACAGAGTTCTTCATTCTGGAGAAGACTGAAAAAGAGACAGTTTTTTTTGTCCTTACTTCTTGAAAAACAGGAATGGAAATTGTTTTACCTTTAATGTCATGTCATCAGAGCAAGATGCTAGTAGCATGCCAGATGGGTCCCATTTGATTGCATTCACCTCATTCTGAAATCAAGAGTGATTTTATTAAGCAAATATTCCAGTTACTGCATCATACTGGGCACTCAGCAGAGGGCACTCAAGTTTTATGCATGGAACAAGTTCACCCACAAATTACAGTGCTGGTGCTTTTAGGGGTGAACAAAAGCACTGCTGCCTCCCTAACATGCTATTTAAGTGGCATTTCGGCGTGGAACCATCCTGTGCTTGTGAACAATACACACAGACAATCTTCTGATGTGTGTTTTGGCACAAAGTTGCTCCTATCTTTTTGTCATATCCTAGGATTTAAATAAACCCAGACAGATTGATGATACAGCATTAGCTTCTTTTTAAAACTGGGGCATTTCTTTCATTAATGTTCTGTAGACTTGGTGATACAAGTCTTCAACAGAAAATAATGATACTGGTGGGGTGTTTTGTTTTGTGGACTTGATAATTCTTCATATTGTAGCTCTACTCTACAACAATTGTTGTCTCTCAAAAGAGAGGTTTATGTTTAAATGAATTCCATGATGGAATATTAAACAGTTTAGGATGCTTTCTCTATCAGTCTTTCTAGCACGTTGTAATTAACTAAGCTTAAGTGTATCCCCTTGGTAATGAGTAAGTTTACCATGCTCTTCCACAGCTTTAGGTAATGAGAAAAAAAGTGTTTTACAAAAAGAGAAAGACTATTTTCTTAAAAATATAAATTGGCCCAGGGTCTCAGTGAAAATAATTCTGGAAAATATTTAAATTTTTCTTTATTCATTTTACATGTTTTAGTAATAATTAAAAACAAGTATAGGTATATTTGAAGTGAAAAATTTGGATAATGTACAGAATGGTGTAATTCATAGAATCATAAAAAACACCAGTCTATTGTTAGGAATGTACAACCTGTCATGAAATATCAGTTTAACCACAGACTAAGATAAAGTGCATAAGTCTCCAAGTGCATAGTTCTGGAAGCTAACATCTGAATTATGGGACAGTAAATGATAGTAGTTTTTCTCACAAATGAAACCTAGAAAAAGTAACCTTTGGCAGTCATTAAATACTACCAAGAAAAGACTGGGGAAACACATCTTTAATACATCGTATTGGATTAAATTGATTCTAAAACTGAACAACGGCTGGAGGTAAACTGTTCTCTCCTTATTCATAGCTCTCATTTAGTAAAGGAAATTAAGCCAGTGGAAAACAGAATCTTATTTATGAATGTGCCTTTAGTCTGCAGTTCATGCTACCCAGAAACACTCTCTCTGTTTAAACCTGAGGTGTTGCCTCCTATGGTGATTTAGAACATTTTGTCCCTTCTCACAGGGGGTGAATCACCCACTCCCAAGGAATATACTTTTAGGGAAACAGTGGGGTGTAACACCTCTGCTGCTAGAACATAGTCTTCAAACCCAGCATCTGCTATCATTCTAACATGTTGCTGTGACTTTACCACTAACATTTTGGACTTAAACTTACTGTGTGTCCTTGAAAGGTTTTGACGGGACGATCACAGCCAAGTCTGCATACGTGGATGCACATGTCAGTACTGCAGGAGGCAAAAGTAGTGTTGTTCTGCCAGTCTACATCCAGAGCAGGAGCTGCAAATACAAACAACAGAAGGAAAATCAAAGATCACGACAAAGAAGCAGCTATCAAAAATAATTTTCCTCCCACTGCCTATCTGCATGAAACAGACTACAGGCTAGTTCTTAGTCTGTCACTTGCTGCCAGTTACAGGGGTGATAGGGACTGTCTGAAGAGCACAAAGTATTATTTCTATTCCAGTGGATAATCTGGATACTTTGCACAACATCTACTTACAAGAATCTTTTGGGTCAAATTACATAAAAGGGGGCAAAACCTTACCTCCACCCTCTCTGCTCCCAGCTACGCATGAGTTATGTCTAGCCTTCATCCCTCTGTAACCCAGTTCAGTGAAAAAACTGAAAGAAAACTAACCCAGAAAAAATGTGGATAATTCCATCTGGGTTAGACAAGCATGTTCCTGTGAACGCCAGACACAACACATGGGAAGGGAAGGTGGAGAACAGGTGGCTGTGTCCCTTTGCACTAGAGCTTTATACGAACCTATCATTCTGTGCAGGCACATGGATTAATAATACTAAAATTCAATTTCATTTGCTTGGGGACTGGTTTTAGGCGAGTACATTGATCAGCCTCATTTGAAATGAGAGGAGGAGTTTCTGGAGAGGGTTTGGTATTAACTAATACTGAACTAACAAAACTGTGCACAGAGAGCATGTGAGCAGGTAAGAATTGCCTGTGTGCAACACACACCCACACCCACTCTACAAAAAGAATGGGAAAAAATCCCCAAATAACTCTTCCAGCATGTCACTGCAGACTGCAAGCAGGAGCAGGAGGAAGCTGCTAACAAACAGCTTGCTTGTGTTTCTATGACTGCTGCTTGGGCTTTTTCCCTCAGGATAGAGTTTAGCTGCCCTCCAGAGGATGACATAAGACTTGCTAAAATATAGAAATCTTCACTCTTGGCACACTCTTGTGAGAAGCAAGTGTGTTAGAATGAGACCAGTATATAGGAAACCAAGTTGAATCTCTTCCTGGCAAAAATACAATGCAAATTTATAACTAAATGAAGCCAAGAAATTCCTTACTCAAACATGTTTAGAAAGATACTTTGGTAATACAGAGGTGAAAAGATATCTGTTCTGACAAGCCTGTTACATTTAAATATGTTTTTCCTATTATAATTTTTATGAACTGCAAAACAAAATAGATCCATATCACCATCTGAATCACCAGGTAGCTCCCTAAATGAGAGTGAAGGGCTGACATTGTTTCATAGACAAGGTTTTTTATTCGTGTGAGGAAGACAGACTACTTTTGAGTTTTCCAACAAACATGAATGAGGATCAGGAAACAATAAAAGATCTCTCTTTAACTGCTTGTTTGCCTTTCTTTTTTATGCTACAAGCTTTGTATTACTATTTCAAAGCAAACAAAAAATGTCATAATTAATAGCAACATTCCTTCGGTGCTAATATCTAGTATGATGAGTCAAAACCTAATTTTCAGAGAGCTATTGGCACCTAAAGCTATGTGTTTACATTGCAGCATAATTTGAATCATAAAGTGCTGATAATTAATACTGATTCATTTATTGGTGTACTCAATCATGTGTTTACTGAATAAGTAACTACATAAAAAGGTTAGAAAAAATCAAGCAACATCGTTCTTGATGCAAATAATCTAATTGCCAAAGTATTTCCAAAACAAAAGGATACCAGCCAATTGCAGAAAAACAATTAGAATATCATAACATATCATAATAAAAGCAGAAAAAATCCTTAAAAATTAAAACCAATAAGGAAAGTGTTACAATAATTATCTGGTAATTTAGGCTTTTTCAGAACAAACTGAAGTGTCATTCAGAGCATTTAGAACATAGGATCATAGAATGGGTTAGGTTGGAAGAGACCCTAAAGAACACCTAGTTCATGCCCCCCTGATGTGGACAGGGACACTTTGTATTATACCAAATTACTCTGAGCTCCATCCAAGCTGGGCTTCTCTGGGCAGCCTGATTCAGTGCTTCACCACCTTCACAATGAAGAATTTCTTCCTGATATCTAATCTAAACATTCTGTCTTTTAGTTTGAATCCATTCACCCCTTGTCCTGTCACTGCACAACTAGATAGTTAAAACTGGCCACACAAATACCTCTTTTGCTGTGAGTGTAACAATTTGTTCCTGCAAGCATAGACATCAGTCTGTATCTATCAGTAAATGTCAAAATTGGATTATTAGCTACTTTTTAAAGAAGTAAATTTTATGAATATATATTTTGATCAAATGCCATATGATGATTCATAGCTTCGCAAAAAAATATGAAACCCTAGAAGCTACTTATCTGCATAGTTACATATTTTGACCAAAAAACCTTAAAAATTATGTGGGAACACCAATGACATGGAGGCCTTCAACATCCATACAAAGGACTTTTCCTTATGTATTTTAAGATGGCAGTTTTGTCCATGTGGTGTAGTTGTTGTAAAGAAGCAGACAGTAAAAAAACCTTTTGCTTTTTCCAGGCCAACTACCTCCAGACTTCAAAGAAGTAGGTGTTAAAGGAAGCATATCCTGCCCAGACTAGACTTTTAATTGTTAAAATGCCATCTTTAATCCTAGCGTAGAAAAGGTTTTCAGATTCCAGATATGGAAAGGAATTTGCTGTTCGTTTGTCCTGGTGATGCAAAGAGGACAAGGTGAGGTCTTTGTGGCTTTAGACTTGTGAGAACAAAGTGAGTATGAGAGTCTGCTGGATTTTAAGAAGGCTTTGTATGATATATGCTTTCTCCAATCAAAAATTTCCTTAAAAGCATTTCCTTAATAACTGCTTTACTTCCTTATGAAAACATATATGAAAGAGTGAAAAAAACCCCTAAATATTAACTTCTGCACATCTACACTTCATTGTGTTTCATGTTCCAAAGACAAACAGCATGTGCAGTAAGAATTTTTAAAAAAATCTTTTCATGCACATGGACATAATGTGTTGGTAGATATAGCTGAGTTTTCAACTTGCTAAAAAGGGGATGGGGTGATTTGTCTTTGATACACATCACAGCTAAGACAGCTTACATGTCAGTGAACCTGATTCTGAAGGGGCAACCAAGTTCTGAATCCTCAACTATTTAGATTACTAGTTAGGGATCAGAGGATTAAGAGTCTCATTAACTAAATCACTCTGTGCACAGTTTCCTGTTATGGAACAGTTATGGTAAATAAATAAATGCCACAGTGAGAAAATATGTCAGCAGATACCAACTCCTCTAAATCAACAGCTGCATTAATAAATGAGGGGACAAGTGACAAAAATGCAGAGTATGGATTTGCTGTGCCCATGGACATACTCTTTGTCTGCTGTTGAATAATCATTTAGATTGCTACTGCATTTTATTCATATCAGTGTAAATGTGAAAATAAGAACAGTTTGAGGTGAAAAGCATGTGCAAAATAGTGTTTTAAAATTAGTGTTGAAATATGTTTTTAAACACCATTGTGAAAGCTTGCTGTATTTAAAAATGGATTAGTTACAGCGAACTAGGAAGATGAACACCTCAAGCGTCAGAATCAGAAGATTCTCATGGTTTTAAACTCAGTTTTACTATACCCCTTAAAATTCTTCACTGTGAAAATGTAGCCACTTCAGATCATGAATTCAGCCATCATCTTACAAGACTAGTACCAGGTGAATTTTGGATTATGTTAATGACTGCCTGTTATTCAAGATTATTTAGTATCTGTGACATCTCCTGTCTTCTTAAAACAGTTCTACAAGTAACCATCCTCATAGCATTTTGGTGCAGCAAGGTTTTGAAACTCAAGGATGGAAACTAATTTCCAATAATCAGAGAAAGCAAATATTGAAGAAATTCAAGTTAAAATTAAAAGCTAAGAAATTCCGATGACCTTTTTGAGTGCAGTGGTGAATGCAAGGTGCATAAGAGATCTGCCTGCTCCTGCCTCATATCAGCTTCATTGAAACAGGAGCAGAGAGAATTGAAAAGATCCCAGACACCTCCACTGAAAGTTCTCCTAATGAATCACCACCAATTCATGCACATAGATACCAATAGAACCAATAGCTCAGTTAGGCAGGCATGACTGGTGTACAAACGCTCTCCTAAAATCAGCTTTCACAGCTGATTGTCTCAGAACTGTCTCTTTCTGAAATGAGAATAAACCCACAAGCCATGATATTCAGGATAGTTAAAGCACAAAAAAACTTGATTGAAATTCTTCTCTGACAGATATGGATAAAGTACATTGATAGAATTAAAAGCTGCATTTCATTTTCCTAAGAAGAGTTATGCAAAAAGTACCTGAATGGAAAGGAAATTGCTGTTTAGCTTCTCCTGTGTGAGCATCCCAAATTATTGTTGTCTGCATCCAAAGAAAGGAGGGAAAAAAAGGATTAGTGACTGTTCAGCTCAGAGAAAAAAAACCCAAATAGCAACCTCACTAAGTAGCAATTCTAAATGATGAACTGATAAAATTATTGACTACAGAGAGCCTTGCATGCTAAACAGTGGGAAAGCCAGAAATTACTTCTAGGTATTACAGAATAATAATCTAAGAGTAGATAAAGAAGTATCATGCCTACAAAAGAAGCAATATAACTATGAAGAATGGCATACTCTCTCTGAAAAATGCTAGAAGACAACAACATTATACATTTTAATAAACATATTGAAAAGAATTTTCAGTTATGATCTTTAAAGAACACTTTCTCCCTTTTCAAAAGATGCAAGTTGAATGCTACTTCAAAATGATGCTGAACCCCATTTGTAACAAACCAACAAGTGAAATGTTTTTCTGTCAGCAGAGTACACAACACTTCTTGCCACTGAGGTGGGACACATTCAGGTCTAATTGGCTTATACAGATTTAATCCATACTCACAAGCACATGTGAGTGTATCCCCTGTAGAGCTCAATACTATCTTCTGAGTGAACTGTCAGTTTATTGGGATTATATACTTCCAGAAGATAAATTAAGGATGCATGATCTTGCTGATAATGGATCACCAAAGAAATGCTGCTTTTATGGAGAATGTAAGTTTGCCAGAGGAATGGAATTACAATTGGGAGACCAGTGTAGCTGAATATAAGGCAGTATTAAAGTGGGTAAAACTAAGCTTCCATTTTCACAAGGATATGTAAATAAAGGGATTTACTGAGCTTACAGATGTACAAACCTCAGCTGGACTCCCCTCTGCCAGCTGCTGGGGAGAAGCACTGTCAGTGCATCTCACTGGAATACAGGCCATGCAGCCTATCCCTTAGAAGTGCCATTTTTCTCTCTGAATTTTGTAAAGGAAGCCAAGGATGACACATGCATCTAATTTTTAGACACTGAAAGTTAGGCAAGATGAATTCTGTGTACTTTCCAGTTTCAATTTTAATGGATCAACAGTCATCTGCTCATTTTAATCTCTAATGTGCACTTAGCTGTAACTACTACATTCTGCTTGATTTTCAGTTCAGAATAATTTTTTTTTTGCATATTTCTAGAGGAAGCCATATATATATTTTATTCAAATAAAAGTGTTGCAACAATTAGATGAGCTAAAAGGTGTGGTATCTTTAAGATCACTTTCTTCCCATAAATAGTTAGCTGATAAAACTTCAGATATTAAGCACTGGAAGCTGTTCCTTCCTTAAGAGAGACACACTCAAGACGCAATTTTACACAATTTTTTAAAAGTTAAGTATTTTCTATGAAAATATTATACATTTATGCAGCCTCAAAACTGCAATCAACATGCACTAAAATATATTAAAGAAATGTAAACTCTCCAGGGTCCTGGAGCAGAAGAAAATAATCTTAAGGAATTTAGCAGCACAAGCTCACTCATCAGCATACTTATATGTTAGAATAATGTATTTTAAAAACTCACTTTATCAACACCAGCACTTAAAATATAATTCCCCTTTTTGTTCCATTTCAGGGCAAATATTGGACCTTTATGTTGACCTAAGGTGCTTGCAAGGTTACCTGGAATAAAGAACAGGTTATTATTACAATTTCTTTACAAACTGGTCAAATAACAGCTCACTGCTGTTTGATGCTTAAGAACACAATAAACGCTTGACTTACCATCTTCTGTCCATATTCTTGCAAAACCATCATATGAGCCTGTAGCCAATAGTGTTCCATCACTCTGTTAGAATATATATAAATGGCAAAGGTGCATATGAAATAAAACCGGTTTCAACCAACCTTTTTCTTTCTTTTTTAAGGTTTGCTAATTGTGATTTATCATTCTGGTCCACTCATTGAGACAGATTATGCTGTGATTTGAACTAAAGGTTATTACTTCAGACAGCACAGAGGAAATAAAATCCTCTAACATAGAGTGAAATACTGGGCTATGCCATCAGGTATGACCCATTTAGTCAAAGAGATTAGAAAAAGAAAACAAGATAGAAAAAGTTCTATGGGCTTCTTCCACTTAACAAACAGATAGTACTTCTTAGCCATAAAGAACTTACAAAACATCAACAGATGACCTAAACCCAGACTAAATCCCAGTTCAGTGAAACTCAGGCACCTTTACATGAAAGAAGGCCCTAAGCCACATACACTCAGGGTGGACACCTCAAATGTTATCCACCACCAAGGAATTGCTTTCTACTTGTCTAAACACAGACTCTCATACATGCTCACAGGTACAGCACCATGATGAAAAAACGGATTCACGGACCCCAGTCAGAAGGAAAAAACCCCATGAATCTCATCAGCAAGTTACATGTATTCTGGAAGGAACCCTTCACAGAAGGGTATGTCCTGTGCAACCAGTGAAGCTGGTGTGATTAGGCCAGAATGAGAATAATTAAAACAGAACTTGACTCAGCCATCTGGTGACACTGTTGAAGCTGGATATTTAGTTTTTCAACATTTCAGAACCTGGATAAAGAGTGAGATTCATCCCAGTTATCTCCAGACATGCAGAAGTCAGGAGTTAGTTCAGGAGTGCCATCTAGTCTCCCTCCATTACTAGCTGCATCATGTAACTGCAACTCTGAGGTGCAACTCATGAACTCGTTTGCTTTAGATTATGCCCAATCCAATATGAAGGTGCGTGTCTCTGTCTCTGCTGGCTTAAGGTGAGTCTAGAGGACTAGCTTGGATGGATAAACCAACAGGAGATGAATCCTACCCAAGGTATCAAAGGGCATGATCTGAATACGACCTCCAGAAATAACCTTTCTTATAACCCTTATGTCATGTAAGTCACATAAACCAGAGAAGAACTAACTCAATACCACCTATGTGAATATTTCACAGGGAAATATGACTAATATTGTGGTTCTAAATAAACAATAAATGCAGTTGGCATTTCTATTTTGATGAATAGAAAATTAGAAAAAGGCATGAAATAATCCTTTAAAACATATGCCCACTCCAATCCTCCAAAAACATTGACTCAGAGCACTTGTAAATTTAACTCATATAATAATGAAGCGGGGGGGAAATACCATAACTTAAGGAAAGCTCACTGTAATGTACACTTTTCTGGACTGGTGATGATAAAAAAGGTGATAAAGGACAAAAAGAGAAAAAGAAAAGCTCAGGAACTTAGATATACGGTTTATCCAAATTTGTTGCTGGTAATTCACATTCTTTGGGATACTCAAAGTAAGTTGGAAGCACTTTAAGTGTTTGAATAAGGAATATTTCCCTAACTTAAGTACTAGTACAATGCTAATGAAGTACCAATGAAGTCTGGAGCGTAAGGAACTACTACAGGAAATACTAGAGGATGCACTATATTTTGGACAATTTTTCTCCTAACTGTTCTCCACTCATTGCACGTTTTCCTCTTTCAGTTTCTCTTTTCTTACTCCTAGATGCATTTTTTTCACAACTCTTTTTATTCACTTTAATATCCACAGGAAACAAGTAATGAACATAAGCTTGAGTTTTTATTTGTTTCCTTGACCTACCTCTACTTTGTGTACTATTCACCAACTTCTTCCATTGTGCAAATACAAAATACACAGGGGAAAAGTTACTTGTGCAGTGGCTTTATCTTTTACTTTGTGAAGCACCTAGCTCACCTGAAGGACAATACTGCAGTAAAGATTAATTGAAACTTGATCTCTGGCCAGCAACTGAGACTGTACATAACTGCTGAAAATCCTTTCTGGTATTTAATTAATCTGTTTTCCTATGAAAACAAGACTAATGTGATCACTATGTCCACAGCAAAACAGACAGAATGAAAATTATCTTGAAGTAATTAAGGTTCCTGCAAGGTCTTGTAAATTTTTCTGGCAAATATTAGAGCAGCCCAAAGGCACTGCCCAGACAAGGGATTGTCAACAATACCTGTCCTCTCTGCTCACTTCAAAACTCTTTGTGCAGGAGCACATTATCTAAGATAGGAGATTCTGCAGGATGAAAGTAAAAAAGGGATCAGGCAAGACAGTTTCTTCTAGAAGGTAAGGACAGCGTTAACTTAACTACACATGCTCCTATCAAGACAAAGAAAATAATGTGAACACATTTTGCTGTGCACAGCATAATTCAAATGAGAAGATCTGGAGAGTCCAACCTCAGAAAACGTTTCACTGGTGCTTTTATCTCCTTACATGCAAAAATAAAGTAACTATGAGATCCAAATACATTATTAATGAGGCTTCAGTATTACACAGATTGTTTGTTTAATCTTTGTTCTTAAAGCAAGCTAAGTTTATTTTTACCCATGCTCCTAAAATAGAGATATAAATATATCATTGTTAAGCTTGAGGATGGCAACAGTTTTGGAAAATTACAGCATGTAGGAGAAAGTTCAGCCTATTAGGAGTATTTGAAACAAGAGGTCAGTAGGTTAGGACAGAGCTTCTAGTCACCTCAGATATGAAAGATACGGAGCAGCAACTGTAATTGCCTTGGAATTAAATTTAGACAGTTAAAAACCATGCACAGTCTTAGAAGTTAGCTTACATTCCAGTCCAATGAAGTCACATCCTTATTGCTGGGGACATCATGTCCTCCTTCTCTTATGCAGTGCCTCAAAACTAGCTGAGTGGAACTGCTGTTGCTGTTTTCATTGAGATTCCATATCCTGGCCGTTGAGTCTCCGGATCTATAAAGCAATTATGCAAATAAGTTGAAAACTCCTCATGTTGACCTAGCAAACAGTGCAAAAGCCTGTATTTCTGTTTTCATTGAGACAACATTACAGCCTTGCAGAAGATTGGAGGAACAAAAGCTGCTGGTCTGAACTGTAACGGGAGTGTCTGACTGCACAGGGCTGCTCTGGCTCTGTGTGAAATGCAGGTGTAAGACTTTGGTGCTGAAATTAGCAGAAGCTCACCTAGGGGAGGGCCCTATTCCATTGAAATGTTCCAAATTTTGCAAGTAGAAGTGGTTTTGAACCTCCTGAGAATTCTAATGCTTCTCCTGTGCACTGCCAAGTGCATCCAAAGTAGATCCAACCACCTTTCCCTAAACCTTCTGAATTGATCAGGGCATTACAAACCTTTAAGAAACAATTTTTTCTTTCCAACTCTTTCTGCACTCTGTGTACTTTTCTAAAAATGCTAACACATATTTAAATTATACCTGTCATAATAATTTTGTTTATTCAGGGAAGTTTACATGAAACTTTTGCATAAACTCACTGTCTACATTTTGCACTACATACCAAAAGCTGGCATCACCATATCTGAGTTAGTATGGGGCAAGTTACAGTAACTGACTGTAGCCTAGCTGCTTACATAATGTTGTCTGAAAAAGTGGCAAAATAAATACAGCCATAATAGAACAATGTAGAGGCAGGATTTTGATCTATTTTATAGACCAATGATTTTCTACAGAGGTGTTTTTAATGCAGGTTGAAACCCTGATTTTGCTTAGAAAAGGTTTTGAGGAGGAAGAGAGGAAGAGGCTATCATTATCTACTTGTAAATAATATATTTATTTTGACTTTGCATAAACCTTTATTCTACTGAATAATGTCTCTAAGATTCAGAGATAATTTGCCATGGAGTGAAAAATATTCCACATTAAAAGTTTACTGGGATTTTTTTTCGCCCTCCTTCATTTTTCAAAACAACAATGACCAAAACCAAGTATCCTGGATTACTTGTTTTGTCAAGAAAGCAATTTTCATTTACATGCAGTAAGTAGAAACTCAGAGCAGATTTAGCATCTCTCTCATACTTGCAAGAATTCATACAGTCTAGATGAAATTTCATTGTGGATACATCTGATGTGTTAGCTTTTCCCTCTTTTTTAAAGTAATGACAGAAAACTTCCTTTCCTATACACTATCAAGGAGAAAAAGTCTTTCTTCAAAGATCCATTTTTGTTTGATAAGCCATGTTTTACTGAAAAAAAAAATCCAGCACAAGAGAATACTAGATTTGCTTTTGGTGTACTAGTAAAGCATTTTAATTATTGATACTAAGAATACCAGGCAAACTTTCAACACTTGACATATCTTCAAATGCAAATATTGACCAAGCAATTATTGAACTCCATTGATCTTTGTGTATTATTTTACTAATAATTTAGCCTAATTTTACACAAACATTTCAACTGTAAAAGCAAACACACCTCTGCCTGTATTAGTAGCTCTGAGCTTTTCTGGGTTATGGTATGCCTGGGGAATGTGATCCCATCTCCTGTGAACCTTTGTGCCAAGCTGAGATGTGATGGCTGGCCAGGGTTTTGAACCCAGCTACTCCTGCAAAGCCACTCTTTAATTTTTGAGACATATCATTCACATTAGTGATTAAGAAATAATTCAGATCAGGGTAATTTTTATCACACAGCTGTGACTGTAATATACACCCTTATTTATTCAGAGGTCTGGAAAACTGACAGTTTTGCATATGTTGGCTAGAATATTAACCAAGTTAATAATGAGGCTCAGAAGTTAAGGAACATTTTTAACTGTGGTAATTAACAATGATGGAACATAAGTCTTTAAAGGAGTGCTTCGTTGGTTAACAAGCTAAGTAGGAAATTCCTTCAGAGCTGGCTTCTCTCCTGTGTAAGACTGCAGGACCGTCCTGCCTTCATTGTAATAATTCAGTTTGTTATTGGACCTTGTGAATAAGGTACTCAGTCACTTGGCTATCAAATACAATATCTTATTTGCTAGTTGTAAAAGGGTTATGTTTTGTTTTTCAACAGTTTTATTTAGTCGGTTTTCTGGCAAGGCCTGGGCAATCTTATTTTCTAGTATTTTCATTTTGTTTTTCCCTTTTCTTCTCCCAAAGCTACATAAGCTATTATGTGTCCCTGCAGAGAGGCTTTATAAGCCTACCAGTGTGCAGCAAGGGTATTTGTGTGTCTTCCTTTTTGTTGCTGGGCAAAAAAAAAAAAAAAAAAAAAAAAAAAAAAAAAAAAAAAAAAAAAAAAAAAAAAAAAAAAAAAAAAAAAAAAAGAGTGCAGAGAATGCTCTGGAAAGTATTCTGATTTCTGTTGAACGATTCACTGAACCCTGCCTTATTAGAGGAGCACAGTTCAAGCACAATTCAGAAAGATATTTAATCTCCTTTGCCCACAGAAGCATTTCTATCTACATGATAAAGCAGCTCATTCCAACATGCAAGTCATGAACACTTGATTAATAGGTACAGTCCTCTGCACTGTGGTAGAGTATTGCCAAATTTTAGGAAGGCTATTTCTGAAAGGATTTTATTTCATGCTCTCCTGCCCCAGTATGTTCATGAATCAAGGTGGACAAATGTTTCTGGAATTTAATTTGTGACATATAAAATCACCATTCTGTAACTGGGAGCACAGAGGTTGTTGTAAGTACTGCAACTGGGTGAAGAATTTTGCAAGATGGTTGTTGAACCTTGGTATTCCTAATCTTCAGCTACAAGATTTAAAATCACTGTTATTTTGAGATGCAATACTGCTAATGTGTATTTGCTACTTTAGCTTCAACAGGTTAGAGTTTTTATTATTTTATTTTAAGAAATATTATTAAAAGAATTATGGGAAAAAACTCTCTTCTTTTTTTTTTTTTTTTTTTTTTTAAAAAAATCTAACATTTCCTTAATAAAGCACATCTCTTAAACTAAGTGCTTACTGTTCCTGGGCAGTTAGTAGAAGGAAGTGCTTCACAGGTGTCCTGATTAAGATCTCTGCCCCACTGATTCTACAACATTACTCCCTGCTACAGGTTATTCAAGTCAACCTCCCCTAATAACTGACCACTTTGCATTAATGGATTTGATGTACTGAGGAAACTAGTCCAAATAGTCCCCTGCTAACAAATAAGCACTTAAGAGTTAGCAGAATTAATATGTGGCACTGACATTGAGGGGTGGTGTCTGAAATTAACACTCTCAAACTCATAAATCAAAAGGATTATTCTGAAAGGTAATTTACAGTAGATCCTAAACCACTGATATGAGGAGTACAGTAACCTGAAGTACTATATATATATGAAACCTAGAAACTATGACAGCAGATAGCCTAGGAACATCTTTTCTTGCTTCCAAGAGACCCAGCCAGAACTGAAAGGTCTTGGACAACAGCTTTTGCAGAAAATTACTTTGCTGACTAGGGAGAGCAAAAGGTGCACAGAGAGGTCTAGAAGAAACAAGTCACAGCCTCTCTGTGTGAGAGGCTGGCATAGATTAGCTGATAAGCAAAGAAACCTACTGTTGGTTTTGGGACTGAGGCCAGGTCCCTCTGCTTCATGGCTGTGTGAATTACTTGAAGGGCAATGATGTCACAGAACAGAACAAACTCTTGGAAGCAGCAGTGGAACGCATTGACAAAAACATCCTAAGTTCAACTGGAAAAGGTTCTGGAGTTCAAGGCTCTAGCAGGCTTGACATTTAGAGTCCATCCACTTCCACACTGGGAAATTCAAGCATGTTCAGAATGCTCTGTGTCACCAGACCATGATGACCTGTGCAAGCAAACTGACAGGTTATTCCCTGGCCAGATTTTGACTTGTATTAATTAGCACTCTTGCTTGAGTCTCTGATGTTCTCTCTGAATAACTTCTGGGCACGGTTACAATGTCCAGAGATGATTCCCAATGTGCAGTTTGTTTGGCAGCCAGGGCAGTTTGCTAGCACAGACACCAGCCTTTCTGTGCCAGCTGGCCTCAGTGCCTAGGAATATTCCCAGGCACAGTTAGTTTACTAATGTGGATGCAGCTGTAATGGATTTCTGTACTACACATGGAACATAACCATCTGCAACCATTTAAATGTGTCATGAAATTAAAACATAGATATTGAAAGATAACTAGCAGAAGATATCAGTCTTTGGCTGGGAATGGCCAAATCTTGAGATTTAACAAAGCACCTCTTTTTTTGGTATTCCTTCACCTGTCCAAACCACTCTATGCAATTATTTGCTTTGGAATGTTGACTTCCTTCATAAAGTGTAGTTAATTATCTTACATGGCTGTATGTACACACTTCATTCTATTATTATAATGCTTCTGTTCATAACATCTAAGCATTCTTTTCATAGGCATCTGGTGACAGTCAGGCCTTTGATAGCATTTACTGGTATTTCTAGTATCCCCCATCCTCAGCTTTAAGGGTTATGTGTGTGGTGGAGGGGGAAGAGCAGCTGCAGAATATATTTTTCTAGCTATTTGATCAGAGAAATTCCTGTCTCTCTGTTATATATTGAAATAACTGTTTGCAAAGCCCAAAGAGTATATATAAGTGTGTATATATAGTCTTCACACACTAAGGAAAAAGCAACTGAGTAGATATGACATTAAATATCAAAATCCCTTTTTCTCAGTGGGATGGTCACTAAATCTGGAAACTAGTGCTCTAGTTTTGGGTAATTCATTCTACATGTCTCTTAAACAGCTTGCTTCAGATTAGGTTCTGAACCTGCATTATTCTTTTAGTTAAGGATTACATCAGGTTGTTGTCTAAACTCCTACTGCTAGCTGTTAGAAAAATCTATTGCCTGTGTAACAAGGCTTCAGGAAAATACTTTGTCATTAATTGAGAATCAATTAGTCACTTTATAAACAAAACAAATATGTTATTATTTCCCCTATTTAATAGCTAGGTTTTAAAATGTGTTTTTAAAGATGGGTACAATCAAGCAGATGGGAAACCCGAAGAAAAGTATTGACTGGACAGCACAATATGGCTGTTACAGAATCTAACAATCTGACACTCACACATCAGACTAACTGCAGTGTTCTTTTTTTAATCATTACTTTGTAAAGGGCAAACAGAACTGCAGTATACTGTGGATCTCAGGGAATTTCTCTCCCTTGTTTAACCGGTGCTGTAACAGGGAGTTGACCTGTAGATAAAAGCTTGCACTGTTATTACACCAGACAAAAGCTTCTTTGTGCAGGGGCATAATCACTTACTCAGCTCTCTTCCTTCAGTTTCACTTTCTTCTGAGCATTCTCTGCCATTTCAGTCACTAAGCTTCACCAGGCACTGGCTGCTGCATCACCCTAATTCCAGCTGCATCCCTACCTTGTTTCTTACAAGCAGGCTAAAATCTGACCAAGATGCACATGGATCTAAATTATTTGCATTGTCATTGCACTGCTCTTAGTCTGTGTAAAGCACATGATTGTACTTTGTAAGCACATGTGTATTTATGTGCCTCCACAGTCACTAGCAAAGCTCATTACAAAGGACCTATTACACTGAAGGGTAAAGCTTAATGGAATTGCTAGTGAGCGGGTATTCCGCTGGCTCAGATATCTGACTAATAGTTCTGATTATCATCCTCCAGGTTTACCTCTAAGATATCACAGTCCAGGGATCCATCTAGCAATGCTTAGCACCCTGAGGCAAAGTCAAACACACACTACAACACATACTCTGGTTTATGAAGTGCTCCACCATTTAAATTGTGCACACTAGGATTGTGCACCATGGATCCTAGGGAAGCAGTCCACTGTTGCAAACATTGACTTGCTTAAAATTGATAAATGAAGATACTTAGTACTACAGATGCTAAAAGCATTATCAGACCTGGATATTCCAGAAAAAAAAAAAGCATACTTAGCAGGATTCTGGTTTCCAAAATCCCAGTTTGTTGTCTGAAATTATTCTTTTAATATTTCTATCTTCACTCTCTTGGAGATCTCTACTGTTCATCCAACACGGAATTTATTTTATTTTTCTATTTATACTGTTTTCATTTTTCTATTTATACTTGTTTTCATGAACCAAGTGAACAAAGGTGAGAAGACTATTCTGATAATCTTGCAAAAAAAGCTAGAAATAAAATAAGGACTCTCCTCTTCCTTGTGAGGAAAGTATCCTATTACTGCTAAGTAACTTTGAGTGATTTACCTCCTCAAACTTTGATCAGCTTTACTCATGTTCCCAGTTATACTTCTTAAATTTAGTCTTCATGTTAAGGCTTAATTTAAAGCATGAACACAGATTCCACCAATGCCTGCATAGAGCTCCTGGGATATGTTTACAATCATGGTTTTGTCTGGATCAAAAGTGCTTTTGTAAGTGAGTCCCCTGATTATCCCACTTAGGATGCTCTGGTGGTCATTGCAGAGCAGTCCTGCAGAGGATACACTGGACTCCCTTCCAATGACACTAAACCACAGCATCCCCTTAAACCACTACTTACAGTTCAGCTCAGTGAAACAAACTTAGGTCCAGTCTGAAGCACCCCCATCTCCACACTTTTTGAAAAATCTGGTGGATGCCAATGACTTTCTGAGACTTCAGTGTGAATCAATTACTAAGAGCAGTAGATTACACGAGCTCCAAATAGTCTGAGAATTATCCATAATTATTAAAAAAATATTCCCAAAAATTTGCGTGCATTTAGGGCCACAGAATTTACATCTTAGATGTACAAATTCTTCATATTTGTCGTTACCTTATAATTATTTAGCAGTTAGGCAGGTATGGTACTGCTGAAAAAACACTGGCTGATAAACATCCCAAATACACTTGCAAGTTCCTGCATCTCTAAATATTCTCTAATTGCAGCAGCTGGTTTGAGTCACTGTCTGTCTTACCCAGATGCTAGCAGGTCACTGACAGGGTTCCAGGCACAGATGAACACTTCTGATTCATGGCCCCGAAGGACTGTTGCTTTGTTAGGAGGGATTTCAACATCCCCGTCAATTTCCATTGGCTTTGAATGATTATCTGTAAGGAGATATATCAGAATAAATAGTTTACAAGATGCAGTTAGGTCTGTTTTAAAATTATTCTAGTTATCCAAGGCCTGAAGCTTACAGCAGCATATACACCAAAATCAATACTCTGTGCTGTGCCACTGACAGTATTACTCTATTTGGTTCCCTCTGGCCATTCAAATTTATGACATTTCCTTAAAATATAGAGCTTTCAAAACATTTTGTATAAATCTACATAGCTTTTCATCCTCCAAATATTCAGGATTTAGTTCAGTGTAGTTTTTATTTTGAAGCTGGCCTCATTAAAAATGACTTACAGATATATTAAAATAATTTTAAAAATAACATAAAGCATTTATATTTTCTTACATAATCTCCTGTAAGTAATATCTGCTCCTAACAGACAAAAATATACTGAGTAGGGGCTTCTTTCCTGAAGCACATCAGGGAAATGGTGAATGATCACCTTCTCAAGGATATTGTAATACATACAAAGGTACCAAATGAGTAATAGATATACTTAACCTGCATGCTGTAACTCTGCAGTTCTTTGGACTGCAGTCTAGGTAACATCACTTTCAGAAACTTCCTTTATTGTCTTAAGCAAGAAAAAGTGAATTTAAAATGATGGATTTCTCTTAGTAACAACAGTTCATTCCAACTTGCATCATGAACCATGTTTTTACTTCAGACTTCCTCTGCTTCTGTATAAATCTTCCTCATTAAGCTCCAGCTAAACTCCCTGGCAGCATTACAAGATTATTATTCTCTGCAAACAAGACACCATCCAAGGACAGGTGACACACTGCAACAGCAGACAGCAGATTTTACACACCCAGGTGTGGCCCATTTTGCAGAAAGCACATCCAAGAGCAGGTAGCAGGCAGCCTTCTGTTACCTAACCAATGCTTTGGACAGCTGACCAGCTCTGACTGATCAAAATGCAAGTTCTCTTTTTGAGTTAAGTCTTTCAGTTAGTCATTATTTAATCACATATGGAGACACATAGGTTTGCAAGTAGAATAATTAACCTCCCTCATTGCTACATGTTTATGGCATTTCAAATCAGCCATCTGTCCTGATAATTCCCTATGTGTATGATTATTAAACTGAATACTGTTGAGATATACCAATACTCAAGATTTAGCCTGACACCAGCAGCTGGGATCAGGCACTGAAGAGTGAAGCACTATTAAAACCCAACAGAAGATACAAGTCTAGAACTCGCAATCCTCTATTGCTCAGCACAGCACAGAATCACCATGCTTAAAGCATATTTTCATGAGAAAAACAGCAGCATGACAATGGCTATGTATTCATCTGTGTCCTCTTCACAATGTGAGCTAGAAGCTTGGGGTAAATCAAGAAGATATTTCGAGCACTTTAATTTGAAAAATTTAAATGAGATGCCATGCTTACGACATAGGATCCTACTGTTACCTGCCTGGCTCTAAGGGCAGGGCTGCTTTTTGCTCTCAATTAAAACCAAATGACAGCTGGGAAGCAGCCTTACTCCAAGGTCCCAGAGTGAAGAGTAGCAGAACAAAGCCATCAGATACTCAGGTGTATTTTTCATTTGTATGTGGCCAGATGGAAAAACCTAGACACACACTTTGAATGCTATTAACTGCTGTGAAAAAAGCCCCACGAATAGTCATGCTGTGAAAAAGAAACCTTGATTAGCTGATACCTGGATTAGTACATGCAAGACCAATTGGCCTCTGGGAACAATGAAATACCTGAAGAATTGTTTCGTATTGTATCTTCCAGTAATGACTTTTACAGAATAGTTTTGGTGGTTTAGGAGAAAAGAGAGGGAAGGATGAGAAGCCTTTCAAAAATAATTTGCCACTGTTCACATTTTATGTGTTTTCTTCCTATTTGCATCAGTAGTCAGGAGCATTCATATTTATAGTGTAACTGTTCAGCACTAAACTTAGAACGCCCCATTGAACAAACAGGACAGCTCATGCCTCTGTGATACTGCCTCAGGCTCTTACCAGATTCAGAAGACACTTGCAGTATGACTGATAAAATTATGGTAACAACAAAAAACTGCAGAAAGCCCTGAGCATAAATTGGCACCCTCTCAAGAGTGACAAGTTCTGACCTCTTGGGAGCCCTGGTCTCACCTGGAAATTTGGTTTTCCTATGGATGCAGCTGCAATGTGTGCATGGGGAATGAGAATGAATAGATAACTGAGATGCAGTAACCATCAAGAGCAGGCTTCTTTTGCTCTGAAGTACCTTCCAAGCAGAAATCTTTCCTTTAAGATCTTATTTGCACAAAATTGCCCTAGGGGGGTTCTCTGGAAGAGAAGGCATTCTTACTACCTGCAGCAGAGCCTCGGGTGAAAAACTAATACTGCAGGTCACATAGGGAAGGACTCTAATATCCAAGTGTTAACACAAAACATTTTCTAAAGGCCAGGGCATCTTTGGTAATGGTCTACATTATATTATAATTATTTTCCTCAAATGTATCAAGAATCTCAAATGACTGGAAATGAGAAGTCATAGTACCCCAAAGTATTAAGACTGAGTGGATTTTTTTAGTGTAAAAAGAAAAATTCTAACACACTAATAAGCAGTGTTAATTATTTCCTCAAAAGAAAAAAATAGATGTTTTAAGATCATATGAGTGCTAACCCTGTTCTATTCTCAGGAAATGTATTTTTTTAATTTTTTTTTTACTTAAATCTTTAAGAGCCCTTTCACTAAAGTTGTTCTTTATGGCTCTAGTTTTAATAAAGGAATAGGGCTTAGTTCTCTTTCCAGAGCTTTAATTTTTGTAAACCTAAGCCAATACTTGCAAATATAATGAAACAAATGACACTAAAAATATTTGTGTTGGAACTCAAACCAAAGTTTGGCTCTATTTCTACATGCTGACTTTTATTTTTTCCTGTAACATTTGAAGTGACTTAAAACTGAGAACATTACTTGGGAAGCAACAAGGCAAGGCAGTGACTTTTTTTATTCAGTATTTCAATCATCTGCACCTCAAACTATTGTTATTGTTGTTTGTCTCTTCTCTTTCTTAAATCTATCCTATTGTATTGGTTATGCCACATACAAAAACTTATCAGATAATATTAAATATTTTGAAACCTTTTTGGAAAGACTTAAGAGTGTCAGGGAGAACTCCATGCCAGAATAAATGCAAACTAGGTAATTTCTCAAAGACATGTCTTCCTCCTGCTCCACCCATCCCACCTTTTTTCAAAGCCTGATATTTGGGTGACTTCCAGGTTATGACTAAGGACTAGCACATTATTTAAACCTGTGCCAATATATGCCAGGTCTGTGGAATACAACAACAGTAAAAATTAAGGTTTGGTAAATTTCTCACAGCTTTCATATCAGCAGTCTTTTCTACTCAGTAGGTCTCCCATGATTATTTCTTTCTCCCAGGAAAAGTCCTTCTCTGCATTCCAAGAAAGGGTCTGCAACTGTGTGTGAAAATCCTTCTATTAAAAACAGCTGTAAGAATTATTATTTTTTTAATTGGAAAATGTCAGATTTGCGATATCAAGGCTTATGGTGTAGCTATAAAAATGAACTGATCTTTAAGCTTTCCTTTTGTTAATACAATAGTAGGTATGTTTCTTTGGATCAGAAGGAAATACACCTAAGTGGCTCTCTTTTAGTGATGAACCAATGATAACAATTTGATTTTTTCTGGGCCTGAGACAGTGAGACATTCCCCTAAAATTTTCACATGTCAGCTGAAGATGTGTAAACAAACAAAATGTCAGCATTTGATAAATTTAACAGTACTTTAATTTCTGTTTGCACCCCTTCACATATGAAATGAGTTAGGTTTCAAAGCAGAGGATTAGTTGAAAGTAAAACATATGCAATCCATAGTCTAAGAACAAATTGGAAGTTTTTAAATGTTCACATTTTTTGTTACATTTGCTTTCTCAAATAAAAATGTTATTTAAATAACTGCAGTTTTACTGGGGGAAACTAACCTGTCCAACTGGAATTCTCTGACGGAAAACCTGTTTTGAAAGTTTTTTTCTCACTGACCCACAGAGGAATCTATTCAGATCAAAGAGAAGGTGGAGACTGATAAAGGTATCTACACTGCAGAACTAATAAAATCTGTTACATGATTACAGCTCTGACCTTGTGTAAGCCGAAGAGCTGTTAGAATTTTCTACAAAAAACCTGCCATGCATGTTCCTCTAGAGTTTTCTTTTAAGACAACTGCCCTTACTGGGCAGTAAGGGCTGGTTTCAGAAATCAGCCAGTATGCAAATGGGCCTTGCACACAGAAACCAGAACCAGTAATCCCATCTGCCCCACAGCGTTAGCACAGTCATCAGGATCTAGTCACACAAACAGGTAGGTCCCACTCCATGCTGGGAATGTCTGACTTTGGGTGATTAATATAGAAGTGCAGTCTCCCTTAGTCACCCATGAACAAAGGTGAATTCAGCGCTCTTGAGAACCAACTGTTCCCAAAGACTCAGGAAGGCAGGGCCTTCAGTTGGATACTTGCAGTGAACTGTATGAATTAGCACATGCTATTAAATAAAAGGTCAAGGAACAATTTTGCTCTGTGCCTTCAAGACAAGTTGGCTGCATCCAAGCTCTTTGCTGGGAATGGTCCTTGGCACATGTGCTTGGCAATGCTGGTCAGAAATGGATAGTTGGTATAGTCCAAACTGGGCTAATGACCATGACAGTAAGGCTATGGATGCTCCTGTGCTTGGCCACACCCTATAAGAATGGTAGCTGGAACATGCCAAACTGGGCCAAGGACCATGCCAAGGCTATGGATGATCACAGGACAGCTACTGCACAAGGCTATGCACTGGTCACACAATTACTTAGAGGGCTTGTAGGTCTGTTGGAGGTTAGGATTACCCCTTTTGTTTTCTTTCTCTCAGGGCATTTTCTCCCTGCTCAGGGACAATAACAAGAGGTACTTAAGAGAGACAAAAGAAGTTGTCACAGTACAGGGAAAGGGTGTGGCTAGCTACTCTCTTAGCTGAGTGATTTCTCTTGGAGGGGCAGAGATAGCGAGATTTGGAGGCATAGGAGTCATATTCTCCATTCCAAGAGAGGTTCCTGCCTCCCTTGGCAGGCACCTGTCTTTCAAACCAAGACAAGGTCCCAGCCTCTCAAACCATCTCTCTCCTGGCCTGGCCAAAATGACAAGCTTCGTCTGCTGCCCACTTTTTATCCAATATCTGAAAGCATCTAGAAGATTGATAGTGAAGTCTGGGTATCCTGCTCCAAGGAGAGAGCATACAGCTCCACTTCTTGATTCTGTCTTCAACTTGCAATTCTGAACATATCTGAAGTTTTCAGATTGTCAGAGACAGGTAAAACACAGCACTGTGATGTGAAACATCATTTTTACTAGCAGCCTTTTTAGAAATGCCCCACCCTCCTGAAAATGATTGCCCTTAGTTCTACCACCTAGCAGAAAGCACATCTTGCACCCCACCCCACAATTAAAAACTACAATATTACTGAAACACAAACAGCCCGGCAGTGGCAGGCAGCTGCACGTTGCCTTACTTATTGCATGTGCCCCATTCTCCTCTCCATTCACAGTGGCTTCTCCGTTCTTTGGTGTGTTCTGCTGGGAAACAGCAGTCGTCGTGGCTCCCGCCGTGGCCGCCGTGGCCGCCGCCGCCGCTGCGGCGCTGGCTTGTTGCTGTGCTAGCTTCTCTCTGAACGCTTGCTGTCGGGTCTGAACGACATCAGGCATCACGGCGTCTATCAGAGACAGGGACTCTATTGGCCTGCCATCAAATACTGTACCATCCTGCAGGGAAAATGAGCAGAAGGGAAATCCCAGGTTAGGACCTTCACCACTCAGGCGGCAAAGAATCACAAAACGAGGTTGCGTGAAGACACTACACTTTGACTTAACCAAAGTGTTAAGTTGACTTAACCAAAGGGCCACAGGACTATGGACTGACTCTCTCTCAGATCTGTGATGGTGGCACTCATGGCACTCAGAAATCTCATCAGTGAAAAAGTAATTGGTTGGAATTATAGAAAGTTCTACCATATAAATGAACCTTTTGCTTTATAGATGCAAAAGTAATTAAGCTGTGTTAAAAAATATGTCTGACAGCTGGAAGAAAGTTTCACTTTCTTTTCTGTTTGAAAAAATAGAGTCATGGCTAAAGCTATGATAAAGGCAAACAGACTTTGGTTAAACTGTTTGTTTTCCTACACTTGCAGGAGCATAGGAATGGAATGGAAGCAGATGATGCATAATGAACCTCAGCCAAAACATGATGTATGCACAAATTCAGTGGTTTCTCACGCAGTGTTTTTCAGCCCAACACCAGCAGTTGTAGCTAATCATACAAGACAGCCTTACCATTATTTTTCTTTTATTCCACTATACTATTAATAATAGTTATGACTTTCATTTTGATTTTTGTAAATTAGGCTTCAGCTTCGAAAACCAATTAAGTAAACTATTAGGGACTGTTGAAGACTTAATACAGGCTATATTGACTTAGCTTTATTTCATTTTCACTTTCCTATTATCTTAAATATAGGGGAAAGATTTTAGTAGTCTTTGCAAAGTGCTATTCTGCCAGTCTTCTGCAAACTCCCTTCAATTCTTTGAAATAACAATGCTCCAGTGGTGAAAGATTTGTTCTTAGAAAGAGCAAGTTAAGAATAGGATACAGATACATAATGTAGCCGATAAACAATATAATCTTCCATAGGTGAGAACAGTTAATAAAGAAAAACAGTTGCTTGCCTAACTGGTATGTTTCTGCTGACCTAGTTGTTGAAATACCCCTAATAATTACAATATTAAGATAAAACATATTTGTTTCCTCATGGGGAAGAAAAAGGAGGAGACAGTTGTTAGAGAAGAAACAATAATCTCTTTCTCCTCAACATTTTTTAATGTCTGCCAAAATTTATTTGAATCTTGACTCAAATTCTTGCTACACAATAAACGTTTGCCAACAGATCCTGACATCTTACATTTTCATCTGTAAATGTGCTCACTGGACTATTTACATGACTGCCCTTTAATAGAGACAAACAATAATTTTATACACACTAGTTTATAGATGCACTGACTACTTATCACTCTTTAGTAATACACATATAAAAGTAACACACAGGGAAGCATTTATGGTAGCCCTTCCAGGGATTCAGATGTAGCATGAATGGCCTTTGCTTTGCTGTAACTTACTTAACATCTGTTTGAACAGATGTGTCCAACATTCCTGTAGTGGGCAAGGACACCTTCCATGAGACCAGGTTGCTCAGGGCCCTGTTCATCCTGACTCAAACCACAATGAGAGAGCAACATAAATCTTAATGGTGACAACAGCCATATTTTCAGATTATTCTCTCATTTTAGGGAAAGTCTTGAAGCGCAGGCCCCTACAACCTGACCTGATATAGTGCTTCAGAGCTGGAACTTTCTGTGTAGCTCCAGCTTCAGGCATGGGGCAAAATGTTAAGCAGCAGCAAATTGAGGCAGCTTTCTAACACTGGCTTGTTATTACAACTGCATCAAAGTGCAGCTTGGCGTGAATGTCAAATGTTATTGACCCAATTACAAAATAACACATATATAAATCTTATACATGGTATTGAGTCATAAAAAGAAAAAACACACAGAATGTTTGAATAAAAACAAAAGAGTTTCCAAACTACACATTGCAAACAACACAGCCTTTTCTCTATTTTATATTCCTTTGTTCTCACCCATGCTGTTCACATGCTACATTCAGGTATAGAGGAAAAAACAGTAGTTTCTCTGTATTAATATTTACTACAGATGTTTGTCAATCAGAAGTATCTATTGTAAAAATCTTGTAATGCAGCAATTGTTTATCTGTCATGTTTAATTCCCTCTCAAAGCACCATGTCTTTGAGGTCGGCAGGGCAAAACCACTGGCTTTACCCACATCTCTTCTTTGTTTCCACTGTCAGCTGAAGGAGAGCAGAGACATTTTGTGGCTGTTCATACAATATCTACAGAAAACTTGCACCCCAGCCACATTCAGAATTTATATGCAACTGTTACACCATGTAAATGATGCTTCATCTGATATGATCTAGGCCAAAGTCAGCAAAGTCATTCTCCAGTGACCTCTGTAAATTTTTGATCTGGCTTCTCATGGCTTGTGAACAGTGCTGCCTGTTAAGAGGTGTCAGGGGGTGAAGTCTTAACCTGTGCTTCAGGTTTTTCCTGCCAAATTCTACCATGACCTTGAAAACTCAAGGCTGTAAGCACAGGCACCTTTTCTTGTTTGCTGCAAGAACCTGTACGCCCTGGATTTGTTGGCTGGGGTAGCAAAAACACCATGAATATCCAGGTAAGCAGTGTAGAGAACGCCTCCCTGCCACAGCTAAAAAACTGAAACAAGCCTCCATCTCAGAGCTTTCTGCTGAGATCGGGCAAAGTACAAGGAATAAAATTAAACGGGATGAGGAGAGGCTCGTGCTGGGGCTGCTGGGGTGTGCTGCTCGGCA